GACGAGGCACATGAAGCCCAAACCCCTCTGTACTCACAGGTGCTGAAGTCCAGGGCAAGCTGCAGGTTCACACAGAGGAAGGCCTGGCAGCTGGAGCACTTCAGCATGTCACATTCCACATTGATCCAACCATACTTGGCACAAACCAGGGGGGAAAGCTCATGGGGTTTCCCTGCCCATTTCAGAGGGTGCTCATGGTAAGGAGAAATCCCCCAAAATTGTGGTTTGGGGGTTAGTTAGGGCAAGGAAAAGCTGAGAAGAGGGGAAGAGCTCAGAGAAGGCTGCAGCTTCCTTGGGAGGGTAAGGCGAGGGACAGGCATTGATCTCTCTGGTGACCAATGACAGGATTCCAAGGGAACAGCTGGAGCTGTGGCAGGGGAGGGTTAGGTTGGATATCAGGCAAAGGTTCTTCGCCGAGAGCAGCTCAGGCACTGGAACAGGGTTAGGTTGGATATCAGGACAAGGTTCTTCTCCCAGAGGTGTTTGGGCACTGAACAGCTCCCCAGGGCAGTGGGAACAGCCCCAAGGCTAACAGAGCTCCAGGAGCGTTTGGCCAATGCTCTCACGCACAAGGTGGGATTTTGGAGTGTCCTGTGCAGGGACAGGAGTTGGATCAATGATCTTTGTGGGTCCCTTCCAGGATATTCCATAAGGCTAAGATGGAGTCTACAGAGAAGGTGAGAGCAACACAAAGGATATAGTGAATGTTTCCACTCTGCTGAAATAGGCTTCTTTGCTGGCGGATTCCAAGGAAAGAGCATCCATCTGGGAAGATCCATTAGCTGATTCTGACCAGTCAGATGTGTCTTTCCTACAAGGAACAGCAAGGCAGAAAAAGTTCTGGAAAAATTTCAGCCACACAAAGTGCACACAGAGCACTTCCAAATCTCTCATCTCTCAGCCTTACCCTGCCAAGAATCTTCTCCAGAGCTCCTAATTCCCAACTTTTAATTAATCACTAATAAACCCATCAAAAAACCACAATGACACAAGGCAAAGGTGCATTGAACATGTCAGTCATGCTGCAGCTGCAGATGGGACAAGAGGGGACAAGGACTTGTTCTCTGAGCCCAACAAAGGCAGACTGAGCTGTGACCTTGAAGTCAGGGACACTCCAAGCTCCCAGCACTGGGATCCATGGCTGGAATGTGTGTCCCTGAGGCTGGAATGCTGACCCCATGGCAAGTGTTGCCCTTTGGCCTCTTCCCAACAGCTCTCCATGGGCCAAAATTGGATCAAGGATGAACTCTGCCCCTGAGGGCAAAAACCTCATGTGGGCTCAGTGAGACACACCTAAAGCTCAGCCCCCAGTGCCTCCCAGTAACCCCTGGAGCTCTCAGTGCCACCTCACCCCAGGCTGTGACCACACTTTTGGGGGCAGTGGCCCAGAATGCAGTCAGTTCAGGCTATGGGGACACCAGAACTCTACAGGTGACACCTGTGCTGCCCTCCCAGTGTCCCCAGTGCCCCCCAGCATCACTTTTCACTACTGCCTACCTGTGCCTCTTTGTCATCCCAGTATTCCTAGTGTCTCTCAGTGTCTCCAGTACTACAAGTGCTTCCTAGTCCCAGCAGCACAGACTCCCAGTGTCTCCTAAACCCACCAGTGCCCCCTCCCAGTGCCCCTTAGTGCCACCAGTGCTCCCCCAGCCCTTCCCAGCCCACCCCACTGTACTCTTTTTCCAGTATCTTTTCTTCAGTACCTCCTAGTCCTCTTCATCTCCTCCTTCCCGACTCCAGCCCTTCCCAGGACCCCCAATAACACGGAAGGGTCCCCAACCCCTCCCTAGGACCCTCAACAACATCAGTGGGTCCCTAACCCCTCTCCCTGGACCCTCAATAACACCGAGGGGGACCTCACCCCCCTCCCAGAACCCTTAATGCTTCCGAAGGGTACCCAAATCCTCCCTAGGACCCTGGATAG